ATTTATAACAGTAGCAAAATTACAGTTATGAAGTAGCAACACAAATAATTTTATGGTTGGGGGGGGGGTCACCACAACATGAGGAACTGTATAAAAAGGATTATGGCAATAGAAAGGTTGAGAACCACTGCTACATAGGATTTCTGAAGTTGTAAATCTTCATGGGAGCCAATAGGCTCAACTTTCTTTCGTAGGGTGTTTGATGGATTTGAATCACCAACCTTTTAGTTAGCAGTTCAATGCTTATCCAACAGCTCCATTCAAACCCATTGCCATCCGGTTGATTCCAACTCACAGCCACAGAGTCAAACTTCTCCATAAGATTTCTAAGTCTATAAATCATCAAAAGCAGACTGTTGCATCTCTCTACTTTGCAATGGCTGATGGTTTTACAAAGCTCACCTTATGGTAGCAGCCACGCCCTTTAACCAGTGTGCCACCAGAGCTCCTCACTGGGGCCTTTTAGAATACTGGAAACTGAGCAAAGTGCTGATCAAATCCAGGTCTCCAGAGAGATTAGAAACAGATAACAGGGGACACAGGAAGTCGATAGTCATTAGCTCTGAGGACATGACGTTATGCCTGGACAGAGTTCAATTTGCTAGGCAGCTTCTGATTACTCTGTCAGAGTCTACTTATGTTCGGATAATTTCTTCCCATCACTGTCCCAGATTGCATGTGTATATGTGGGGGCAGCAGAGGGGTAGTAGATGGGGGCTGGGAAATCCCCTAAAAGTAATTATAGATTGACCTGAAATATGCTTAGTATGTAGTAAGACATATAAGTAAAATTATCATGCACACCATGTTTATTAGCATGGAAAATGTTTATGATATATTAGGAGAACTATAAATTACCAAAATATAAATAGTATTCTCTTTGGGGGTAGAATGTATGTTCTATAAAGAATATCTAAAAGAAGAAAATTGAATGTTAATAGTGTAGATATTGAATTGTGGATTAAATTTTTCTTTACTTTTTGGAGATAATTTTTGTATAAAGTTTGGCATTTAAGTTTATATCACTAATGGGGCAAATTATCAAACTGTTTTCATTTGGTATGAAAATGAGAAATAAACAAGGTGCAAATGAGGTATCAACAATTTTAATATGAGTGAAAAGAGCCAGTTTAATGTGTAAACTTTTAACAGCATTATTTCCTGTTATTGTTTACTTACTGTTTAGTAGTTTTTGTCTTCATTCATTTTGAGCAAGTAGCATCACTGGATTAACTTGATCTTATAAATTTGGGTAAAAGAGAAAAAACAATAGATGTGTTTGTGAATCTTTACATTATTGTTTATGTTTCTTTCACTGTTTTTCCTATTCCATTTCAAATAAGAACTCTTATTTTCCGTATTGCCAAGTAGGTGTTTTGTGTGCCCTCAAGCATCAAGATAGAAACTAGCTGGTTCATTCTAAGTTATAATAATTGACCCCATAATTGGAGGCAGTTTTCTGTAAACTGATTTGGGTTGACACTCATGAAATCATTAGACAAGACCTTTAAAGCTATCCTTTTTCCAGTGCTCTGCTTTTAAGCTAAGATCTCACATTATAGCCAGATGAATTCTGTCAAAATTTTAAAGACCTCAAGAGAGATTTTTCAGCTCCCCTTGGTAGCCCATTCCAATGTTTGAGAACAGTCACAGTCAGAAAAGTCTTCCCTACATCTCTTGGTCATCTGACTCCTTCACGGTACAGCGGAAGGCCATTTCCTCTCGTTCTGTCACCAGGAAGGAGGAAGAACAGCTGCTTCCCATCTTCTTCAGCCCTTACAGGCTTATTAAATCTCATAACCACTGCCTGCTTCTCCTCAGTCCTTTTTAGCATTTTTTTGTCCACTGAACTCTATTCAGATTTTCTTTTGTTGAACAACCGTTATCAGAATACAGTTATAAATTAGACTATAATGATTATTTCACAGTTTCTATACATATATCATGTTTATATCTGTGTATCTCATATAGGGTTTTCATGTAATCTATTGTTGTACTTTAGATGTTATTTCTGCGTAAACTTCCATCTTGTGCTAAATTTTGTTGTTCTTTTTATGATTACTCAGCACTTTGTTTTGTATTTTGTTTTTGCATTTGCATAAAACAACATGGGGCCTATATCTGACCTCTTCTGGCTTTCATGTTGCTGCAAGGTAGTGGTCAGACATGTCTCCACTCTCCATCTTCCTTTACCTGTTCTGATATTCACCATTCTCCCACAACACCTTACTAACCTGCTAGGTTCAGTAATTCATGGCAATTACCCTGCAGAACTCACAGACAGTACTCACTTTTATGAGGGCTTATTAATGAAGTCAATGAATTACCAACCACCACTTGCTGTCAGTTTGTCACAATTAGGTGGCTTGTGTGTTGCTATACTGATAGATGCAAATGGAGTTTACTGTGTGGATTATAAACAACTATGGGTAGCCTTGAGACTAATGGGAATCCCAGAATGCTTAATTGTGCTCATATGGAACCTGTACATGGATCAAGAAGCAGTAATTCAAGAAGAAAAGGGGAATACTGCCTGGTTTAAAATCAGGAAAGATGCGCATTATGACTCTATTCTCACACAAAATGTATTCAGTTGTTGCTGAACACATAATCCGAGCAAACGGACTCTATGAAGAAGAACCCCGAGCCAGGAATGGAGGCAACCTTATTCTCAACCTCAGATATGCAGATCACACAGCCCTGCGTGCTGAAAATGAAGAGGACTCGAAGTACATGCTTATGAAGATAAAGAGTTTCAAACTTCTACATGGATTGTAAGTCGATGTTAGGAAGCTCAAAATCCTCAACTATACATGCCATCCTGTTTGGATCTATAATCAATGCTCATGGAAACAGCAGTCAAGAATATTTTTAGAATGATAATGGCAACACATGTAGAAATGTGATTGACACAATCTATGTATGTTTGGATTGTGATAAGAGTTGTACAAGCCCCCAATAAAATGATTTTAAAAAGAAAAGGGAAAACATGAATCAATGCACTGCATTGGGTAAATCTGTTTAACAAGACCTCTGTAAAGTAATGAAAAGCGAAGATGTTACTTTGAGGACTAAAGCACATTTGACCCAAGCCATGGTGTTTTTAAAATTGTCTCATATGCATGTAACAGTTGAAAATTGAATAAGAAAGATCAAAGAATAGATGCATTTGAATAACAGTCCTGGTAAAAAAATATTGTCATTGTCATGGGTTTCCATAAGAATAAAGAAATCTGTATTAGAAAAAGTACAGCCAGTACAGCCAGAATGCTCCTTAGAAGGAAGGGTGGTGAGATGTCATCTCATGCGCTTTGGAAATGTAATCAGGAGCGACCCATCCTTGGAAAAGGACAGCATGCTTGGTAAAGTAGATGGGAGGGGAAAAGAGGAAGATCCTTGACAATTGGATCGATGCAATAATTACAACAACAGACTTGGGCATAACAACAATTGTGAGGATGGTGCAAGACCAAGTAGTGTTCTGTTCTGTTGTACATAGAGTTGCTATGACTCAGCACTGACTCAGCAACACCAGGCAACAGCAACATGATGTTCATGATGCCGGAAGCTATGTCAATAATATTTCAAATACTAGCAGGGACACCCCAGGAGAACAGGCTTCAGCAAAGACCTGGAGTTAGAACACCAAAAAGGAAAGACATGCGCTGCATAAAACAAACTGAAAGAACTAAAGAAGAAAAACCCATTTAATCCTGGAACTGAAATGTTGAAAGATTCTATGGGAAAAATAAATATTGAAGGATGTGGGGTGCATCAAAATAAAATGCACAGATTACAGTCCCTATATCAAAAAGTTGGCATTCCAGGAAAGGTATGCAGCAGGGTTGTACCATCTCACCATATGTATTCAGTCTGTATGCCGAGCACATCGTCAGAGAAGCTGGCTTCTATGAAGAAGTGGCATCAGGGTTGAAGGAAGGCTTATTTGCAACCTGTTTTATGCAGCTGATACAACCTTGCTTTCTGAAAAACAGGAAAATTTGAAACTCTTGCTGATGAAGGTCAAGGATTATATCCTTCAACATGGATTACCGCAAAATATAAAGAAGACCAAAATCCTCGCAATGGACCAATAGGTAACATGATCCATGGAGAAAAAGATTATAGCTTTCAAAGTTTTTGTCTTGCTTGGACCCACAGTCAATGCTTATGGAAGCAGCAGTCAATCGCTCAAAAGGTCCACCTTATAAAAATATTAACATTCTATATTCGAAGCAATTTGGAAATACTCTCATCCCCAGTGGAAATATCAATTTGGCAGTGTTGTAGCAGAGTATGTCTAGTAGTGGAAAAGATTACTCTGGCAAAGAGACTGTATTCTGGGAGGAAATGGGGGCAAATTGTGTGAATTAGTCAAATTGAAACCATTCCATGCAGGTAAACTCTTAAATTGGAAAAGCTGCCATTTTTATTGGTGTAGGTTGCTAAGTAACCATGGTCCTGCCAGGTGTACATCTACTTAATCAATCCCTGCCACTGGAAAATGGACTGGAGGGTGGTTTCCCTATCAGCTTTGTCATGAGGCGTGAAGTCTAGGGTGCTGTGCTGTGCTGTCCTAAACTGTAATGCAACGGGGCCCTGGGCCATGAAAGGGACAGTGCCTAATATGACTCATTCTTACCACGATTAGTGCCAGAATCGTGTCAATTTTTTTTTGCACACATGCATATTTTACACCTATCAAATCATTATTTAGTCAGTCTCTACTATAGTGACCATCTTTATTTTTTTGTTTTTTTGTCTTTCAGCAGACCAAAGCCCCAGAAACACAATGTGGTTATGCATTGGCCTGCTAACTGCGAGGTCAGCAGTTTAAAACCAGCAGCCACACTAGGGGAGGAAGACTGAGAAACCCAGAGACAGTTCTGTTCTGTCCTGTGGATTACGATGAGTCGGCTTTGACTTGATGGCACAGAGTTTGAAGTTTTGGGGTTTTCTTTACTCCACTAAATGTCCCTCTACTTAATAATTTCTTTTTAGATCATGAGACAAAGGGTTGTCAAAGGCAAGTAAGACAGAACCATCATAAATGCTGCAGAGAAATACTGGCATTTAAATAGGGTGAGAGTGGAAGCAGTATACCTGGTAGTTACTGAAAGCTGAGTAAAGACAAAATACTCAGGTTTTGTTGGCAATACTGAAATGTGAATTCGTGCCCTGAAAATGTTCACAAAAATCTGTTCTGAGTCAACTCTCATTCCCAACTTTGTCAGGGAAGTTTATCCAATTTGAAGATGTGGTTGCAACAAAGCCATAAAACTTTGCTAAAACCAAGGAATTGATTTTAGGATGGTTGAATGATTCCCGTTTTTTTTCCTATTGAGTTTGCATTCCTATTTTAGACATGTTAAGTTAGCTTTGACAATCTAGTTCTGATACATTTTTTTACGTGATTAATCTTTGTATTTTCTATTGTGAATTATTTAAAAGTCTACAGAGCAGATCATCAGTTTTGCATTCAACGATTAATA